CGGATTCGGGTGTACGTACACGTCAGCATGCACCGCTCGCACCTCCTCAACTGCTAGTTCCCCATTTTTGCAAGTTTGACCTCCTCCAGCCTTCCTTTTCTCGATTTTCCTCCACTTTTTGGCAATTAATTTACTGTTTCTCCTTTTCAGGCTTTCTCACCGCGGCAACCATGGCAGATCCGCCTCCTCAGCCCAAGACCGAAGACGAATGGCGCCAGATCTTAACTAGTAACTGCTTCCTGAACACTCACTGCTTTCTTCTTTCTTAGCAGCGCTAAATGCATTAAAAGGCTTTTCAGAGAAAGTCAAAGTCCTCAGACCCCAGATATTCAGCTGTTCAAGTTAACTGGCAAAGACAGAATCATGCACATGCACACTGTAAACCCTAAACCCTAGGCCCTCACGACCTGTACGTACACACCAAGTGCGTGTGCGACTCAAGGGGCGTGTGCCCAAAGTGAAGCTGTGAACCCTAAACCCTAAACCCTAAACCCTGAGGAGCAAATTTCCGGTGCCGGAGAGCTCGCGGGTGGCGATCTTATTTCTTCAGAAGTAAACAGATGAATTTAAAATGAATTTAAAATGAATCTGAAATGAATTCGAAATGAATTTTGGCAAATTAATTTGAAATAAATGCATTTAATTCAATTCTTTTTCATGAATCGTTTTGCTGCTGCTCCCAGGAGAGGAATACAGAGTCCTGAGGGAGAAGGCCACAGAGCCCGCAGGCAGCGGCAAGCCCCAAACCCTAAACCCTAAACCCTAAACCCTACTTTTCTCTGCAGCCGGCCGTTCGCTCCTTCACCGCATGCCTTCTGTTCCAGAGCTTGCGTCTCCGAGTCTGGCGTTTACTTCCACGGAAACAGGGTTTAGGGCTTAGGGTTTAGGGTTTAGGGTTTAGGGTTTAGGGTTTGCGTGCAGGAGAGTATGATCACTTCTACCCTCCTAAGGGGTGCTTTGTTTGCCGCGGATGCCTTTCCCCTCTTTTCCCCGCCAGCAGCAAATTCAAATCCGGCTGCGGCTGGCCAGCCTTTGACAAAGTTTACAAAGGTCCCCCAAACCCCAAACCCTAAACCCTAAACCCTAAACCCTAAGCTGGCCCGGAGACGATGCGTCTTTCACCGTTCGCGCGGCCATGTAAGCGCTGGAAGGCCATGATATACACGGAGCTGATGACTTAAGCCAAGAACCAAGGGTTTAGGGTTTACGGTTTAGGGTTTAGGGTTTACGGTTTAGGGTTTGTGCCTCAGGCAAAGTTAAAGCTGTGCTAGACCTTAGTGGGGGCATGAGGCGCTGGGAGATAATCTGCAGCGCCTGCGGCGGCCACTTGGGCCACGTGTTCACTGGCGAGGGGTATCTCCAAACCCTAAACCCTAAACCCTAAACCCTAATTTCGTTTTCTCAAACCCTGAACCTGCCTTCTTACCTGCGCCTGCTAAACCCTAAACCCTAGCCTTGGCCTTGCCTGCAGTTGGGTTCGTCAATTGTCGCGTTAGTGAGGGCTCAGTGGCGGCAGGGTTTCTTGAGGGTTTGGGTTGTCTAGGGTTTACGGTTTAGGGTTTAGGGTTTGGGTCGTGCATCTCATTGCCGAGGGTTTAGTGGCGGTAGAGTCAGTTGAGGGTTTGGGATTTGCGGAGGGTTGAGGGTTTATAGTGGAAGTAAGGCGTGCTGAGAGTTTGGCATTTGTCTAGGGTTTAGGGTTTAGGGTTTAGGGTTTTCTCTTTGCAGGTTTACGCAGACCAACGAGCGGCACTGCGTGAACTCCTTGTCCATAAAGTACCAAGAAAAAGAGCCTGGCCTCGAGACAGAAATTCTCAGGCCTGCTAATTAGGGTCTAGGGTTTAGGGTTTAGGGTTTAGGGTTTGGGGTTGGGGTGCACGTACACCTCTTGCCTGCGGCGGTGTACAGACAGCCAAGGCCTTTTCGACATTTGTTTTTCTCGAGGGTTTTCTTAAATGCATTTCGGAGCTTCCAGACTCCAGTGTTCCTTATTGGCAGCCCCGAGGTAGGGTTTAGGGTTTAGGGTTTAGGGTTTAGGGTTTGTGGGAGAGCCCCTTTTTAGATTCTGGGGGTCCACAAGAGGCAGTGCACTTGTTCTTTGCTGGGCTTTTCAGGGTTTAGAGTTTGTGTCTTAGGGTTTAGGGTTTGGGCATCAGGGTTTAGGGTTTAGATTCTAGGGTTTAGGGTTTAGGGTTTCTGCGTAGCCTTGTCACCCCCGCCTGCTAAGAATGCAGCATTTTTAATTCCAAGAGGCCTGGCCGGCCTAGCGAGCCTGCTGCTGCTGTAGCCCCAAACTGCTGCTGCTGCTATTGCTGCTGCACCTGCTGCTGCTACACCTGCTGCTGCTGCTGGTCAGAGCCCAGCCGGGCTTTTACGGGAACTGCTGCTGCACCTGTTGCTGTCGCTGCTGCTGCTGCTGCTCTTCAGGGCCCTGCCGGGCCCCAGCCAGCGGCAGCAGCAGCTTCGTGCTGCTGCTGCTGCTGGGCAGTTTGCTGTTGAGGGTTTAGGGTTTGCGCTAGCCCGAGCCCTCGCCCACAAGTGGCTGAATGCAAATGCACACCCGGGCGTAAACCCTAAACCCTAAACCCTAGGACTCCCTGAAGCTTCAAGGGGCCTTTTAAGGGGCCTGAAGGGCCCCAAAAGAAACCCAAAAAGACCCTTTTGGGACCCAAAGGGGGCCCCTTTAGGGGCCCCAAGGGGCCCCTAAAGGGGCCCAAAAGGACTTTTAGGAGGAGACAAAAAGGACTTTTTAGGGAAGACAAAAAGGGCATTTTAGAGAAGAATAGAAGGACTCTTTAAAGGAGACAAAAAGGGTTTTTAGAGGGGACAAAAAGGACTTCTTAAATGGGGTTAAAAGACCCTTTTTGGCTTTTTCCTGGGCCCCACAGGGTTCACAGGGGTCCCACAAGAGGCAGCTACAGAGGACCTCCCTTGTGGGGCCCCACAGCAGCGGGACCCCTGAGCCACGCCGATACGTCAGTAGCAGCAGCAGCTGCTGCGATGAGTAGCAGCAGCAGCAGCGGGAGGTGCGCCTGCAGCACCAGCAGCAGCAGTTGCGCCTGCAACGGCAGCAGCCCAGAAACGCTGCAGGGGCCCCCTTGGGGGCCCCTGCAGCGTGGAACTCCAGCAGCAAAGGGGCTCCTGCCAGGGCTCACCGTGGGGGCCCCCCAGGGGCCCCAGCAAACCTTGGGGCCCCCCAGAGCACTCCTATTCGAAAGTCTAAGGCCTACAACATTTAACTAATGTCCTCAGACCTCCTCTAAGTGCTGCTGCTTTTGACTGGCCTCGCAGCTAGGTTCCTGTTGCTGCTGCTGCTGCTGCTGCTGCCTCTGCTGCGGTGGTGCTGCTCTAGTGGCTGAGACTCAAGACTCTGTGAAGGAGTGTTTCTAGTCTTGTTGCTGCTTTTCTTTCTTGTGTCTTAGTTAAATATGAAGAAAAAAGAGCATAAGTGCTCGCAAAAATGAATAAAAGGCCAAAAGAAAGTCCAGAAAAGAAAGAACTGGCGAGCAGCAGCGCTGGCAGCAGGGGCGGCGGCTAGCTTGAGGTGTCTGTACACCCCAGCTGGAGCGCGCGAGGAAAGATTTAAAGTAACTCGTGGAGGAAACAAAGAAAAGAAAAACAGATATAAACATTTTAATATTTATTTACATTTAAATAATTAAATTGAGGAGAAACAGGAGCAGCCCTGCCGCATCTCAGCTGCGTACTTGACGCAAGGCAATTAAATAGAAGCAAAATATTAGATTTGCTTTTAAGTTTGAAATTAATTTAAATAATTTAATTTTAAAATAAATTAAAAGGAAAAGGCGGCGGCAACTCGCATGCAGAAGAGCGCGCATGTGCCCTAGTGTGCATACACCAGAGACAGCGGCAGCAGCCCCAAAGCATTTCCCCTTCCTTCTTTGCTTCTTATTTATTTCTTTCTAAAACTCTTTTCCAGCTCGCCTTCCAGGCGTCCGTGGCCCCCCGACTAAACCTAAACCCTAAACCCTAAACCCTAAACCCTCGCTGCATGCAGGACCATGAGGTGGGGGCCCCCCGTCTCAGCTCGCAGCAGCAAGCTCACGCTGCTGCGGCAGAGGGCCCCACAGGGGCCCCTTTGCCTCTCCATTGCTTCGGCCCGGCTGCCTATTGCAGCACAAGGGGGCCCCCCAGGGGCCCCCTGGGGGGCCCCCCTGTGGGGGCCCCCTGGGAGCCCCCCGGGGGGCCCCCTTAGTCTGCGGTTGGGGCCCGCGAGGGGTACTGGCTGGTGCAGCAGCAGATTCTCCTCAACACAAGTTCCCGCTGCAGGTGCTGCCAAGGCCTCAGATATGAAAGCTGAAGCAGCAGCAGCAACAGCAGCAGCAGCAGCAGCAGCGAACAGCAAGTTGCCGCAGCAGCAGGGGCTGCAAAGCCCTGCAGGAGGTTCTGCTTCTCCTAGCGAAGCAGCAGCAGCAGCAGGGACCCGCCGCAAAGCAGGCAAAACAAAACGCGGCCTGAAGCTGTTGGCAGCAGCAACAGTAGTTGCTGCTGCTGCCGCTGCTGTGGCTGCTGCTGCTGAGGACGACAAGGAGAAGCAGAAGTCTTCGCTGCAGGCGCTGCAGCTCGTGCTGCAGCAGCAGCCCCTAGCAGGAAGAGCAGCTACTGTCGCTGCTGACAGGACAGCAGCAGCAGCAGCTGCTGCTGCACCAGCAGCAGCAACAGCTTACGAGGCAGCAATTGGCAATGTCTCAGCAAAGTCAGCAGCAGACGCAGAAGCTGACGCAGTAAAGAGCGGTTCTGGAGCGGCAACAGCAGCAGCAGCAGCAGAATCCGCAGCAGCAGAGGCAGCAGCAGAAGCAGAAGCGGCAGCAGAGGTAGCAGCAGCAGCAGCAGAAAAGACAGTTTTGCTGGAGACGAAGGGACAAGCGCTGCGTAGAGCTCTCTATGCTCAGGAGCAACAGCCGTTGCAGCAAGAGCAGCAGCAGCAGCAGCAGCACGAGCAGCAGCAGCAGCAGCAGGAGCTGCAAGAGCAGCAGCAACAAGAGCAGCAGGAGCAGCAGCAGCAAGAGCAGCAGCAGCAAGAGCAGCAGCAGCAAGAGCAAGAGCAAGAGCCTCAACAGGAAGAGGAAGAGTCGCGTCAGGAGCGAGATGAGCAGGAAGTTGCAGCAGCAGCAGCAGTAGCAGCAGCAGCAGCAGCAGCAGCACCCTCATACGAAGACTTCTTGCTATCCCCTTGTGCGTCACTCTCTAATTAATTAATTAAAATATTAACAAACGAAACCTTAGTCGGCATCACGTACCTCTCCTGTGTGCTGCTGCTGCTGCTGGTGCTGCTGCTGCTGATGCTGCTGCTGCTGCTGGGTGACTTGATTCATTGGGCTAGTATGCCTCGTTTGTGCTGCTGCTGCTGCTGCTGTTCCTTTTTCTTCTTTTGCATTTGTTTGTCTTTTTGAAATGAGTTGTCTGTGTGGCTGCATGTGTGGGTGCTGCAGCAGCAGCAGCAGCAGCTGCTGCTGCTGCTGCTGCTGGGACCGACGCAGACACGGAGGCGTTCGCAGCAGCAGAGGCGCAGCGGCTGCGGGCGCTGCCGCAGCAGCAGCTGCATGCGCATGCGCTGCAGCAAAGTCTCTTAATTAGGGTTTTGAAAGGAGACACAAAAAGCCAAAAAAAAGAAAGAGAAGAACAAATTGAAGCAGCAAAACGCGCAGCAGTGCAGCAGGTCATTTCATTCAAACATTCCTTTTCTTAAACCCCAAACCCTAGTGGCTAAACCCTAAATCCTCAGCTCTGGGAGCCTTCCCGATCTTTGGGACGTTGGCATTCAGGGTTTACGGTTTAGGGTTTAGGGTTTAGGGTTTGGGCTTTCGTCTGTATTCGGGTGGTCTTTGCAGTTCCGGCAAGATGCGAGGGACGCATTTGAAGCGCAGGTAAGAAAGATGGGGGTTAGGGTTTAGGGTTTAGAGTTTAGGGTTTAGGGTTTAGGGTTTAGAGTTTAGGGTTTAGGGTTTAGGGTTTAGTAGGGTTTTGAGCGTCTCCTTCGGGTTCTATAATTAATTTAATGCAGCTCCGACTTCGCCTCCCGGCCTCTCAAGTGAGAGGCAGGGTCTAGGGTTTAGGGTTTAGGGTTTAGCGTTTAGGGTTTAGGGTTTGTGTCAGGCGGAGGCCGCTCTGTCTCTGGTGGAGGCGCGGACTTGGGATTTTTTTGCAAAGCAAGAAGAGATGAAAGGGTTTATGTTCGAGACAAAGGAGCAGATGCATGCGCTGGAGACGCAAGTAGACGAGCTGCACCACGTAAACCCTAAACCCTAAACCCTCTTCCCAAACCCTCACCCGCGCCGGCGGAACACGGCAGCGGCAAACTCCAAACCCTCAGCTGCAGGAGCGCAGGCCGCAGCGGTCGCGCCCGCCAGCCGCTCCCGAGGGCCCAGCGTTTAGGGTTTAGGGTTTAGGGTTTAGGGTTTAGGGTTTGCGCAGGCCTTCGGGGACTTGGTGAGCCGTCTAAACACCGCAGTCGCCGCCAGCCGCGTCGGCGCTGCTCTTTCGAGTTTGGACTTTGCGGTGTCTAGACACCTGCCGGTGGGGGCGGCTGTGAGGGAACTGGAAAAGGTATTTTTGAAACTTCAAATTTATTTATTTTCTCTTTTTCTTTTCTTTTTTGGCCCATTTTGAAGACTCATTACTTGTTTATTTGCTGTTTATTTGCTTCTTTTATTTCCAAATTATTTTATGTTCCACTTTTGCTGCTGCAGTTTTACGGGCTGCTGGCTGGGGCTGCTTTCTTTCCTTTTGCTGCTCGCATGCGTCTGCATGCATGTAATTATGTATTTATTTTATTTCATTTATTTATTATTTTTATTTATTATTTTTATTTGTTATTTCTGTTTGAGTGATTCAGGCTGGAGAAGAAGACCCCGTTGTAGCCTCAGTTGCTTCTTCGCTGCTGCCGCTGCTGCCTGTTCTTGACAGGGAGCCAGTGGTTTCTCCCGCTGCTGCATTTGTGCGTTATTTCATCTAAATATCAACTAAATTAGATGACAAAATTAATTATTACTTCAATTTAATCATTTAATTGAAGGGTTTAGCGTTTATCTCGTTTTATTTCCTCTTTTGGGACTCACTCGAGCATTTCAGCTTCGCTCCACTCGCTCCAGTTGAGGTGTCTGTACACCCCAGACTGAACACCCCGTCCGCATTCCGAAGCGCCATTCTTTGGTTTTGTGTGCATTTAAAAGACAATTAGACCTTCCATTTGTTTTTAAATTGAAATTTATTGTTTTATTTTGCGGATTTCTTCCGTTTTGCCCCGCAGGAGCAGCTCGAGGGAGCCCTTCGCCGCAGCGCGCGCGCAGCCTTCGTGCCCGAAGGCAGCGGCGTCCTGCTGCACTTGTTTTGCTACTTTTTGGGTTCTGTTTATTCTGTTCTTCCTTCCCCTTTTGTTCATTTTCCATTTCTCGAAGAAGACGCGGACAGCCGCGCAAAAGACACGCAGCAGCTGCTGCACAACCTGCAGCAGCTGCACCAGGCTCGCATGCACACCGACAGAGGTCTGCTGCTGCTGCTGTTGCTGCTGTGGCTGCTGCTACTGTTGCGGCTGTGGCTGCTGCTGCTGTTGCTGCTCTGGCTGCTGCTGGTGGTGCTGGAATTGTTGGGGTTCCTGCCGTTGGCGGTCGCTGTTGCTGCTGCTGCTGCTGCAGCCCGTGTGCTGCTGCTGCCGTGGCTTGTGTGCAGCGGACCTTCCTGCTGCAGTGGGGTGTCTAGACAGCTTGAAAGGCTTCGCGCGGCGAGAAGCTGAAAAAGAAATTAATAAAATAAAATTGAGTTTGCAAGTACACCAGGCAGTTGATGCACTTCGAGCCAGACTGGACTGCATCAACGCGCAGCTAGCCAGCTAAACCCTAAACCCTAGCTAGACGCACCCTAAACCCTAGCTAAACGCTAAACTCTAGCTAAACCCTAAACCCTAGCTAAACCCTAAACCTGCACCCTAGACCCTGCGCCTGCGGGCCCCATGGCCCTGATCCTTGGACCCCGACCCGCAAACCCTAAACCCTCGATCGGGAAGCCCTAAACCCTCGATCTGGAAACCATAAACCCTCGATCGAGAAACCCTAAACCCTTGGGGCCCCACAATGACCTCACTTTGCGCCTTTTACTTTATGCATGCGCTTCTCCTTTACTGACAATGGCACTGTTGCAGTTTCTGCTTTTGCCTTTTATTAATATTGATGGTAATAATAATATTTATTATGATTATTATTATTATTACTAATATTAGTACTTCTAGTATTTATTATTACCTTTATTATCATCATCATTATTATTATTATTATTATTACTATTATTATTATTACTTTTATTACTATTATTACTATTATTATTACCACTAGTATTATCATTATTACTATTATAGTAACAATTATTATTACTATAACGGATATTTTCGTAAGACTCGCAGCTCGCCTGGCCAACTATTAACTGGGCTGGGGCATAAGTTTAGAGGCTAGCTCTTAGGTAGCTAGCTACAGCTAGCCACGGCTAGCTGTAGCTAGCCACAGCCAGCCACAGCTAGCGACAGCTAGCCACAGCAAGCTGCACGGTGGGGGGGAAGGCAAATGCTGACAGAGAGCTTGGAAAGGTTTGTGGACTCTCAGAGATCGGAGAAAGCCATTTTAATTAATTGGATGGACACTAGAGCTGTCACTCATTAGTTGAATTGCTTTTTCTAGGAACTTTTGAGTTTGGGGAATGAGTGCAAGTGTAAAATATTATCCAAACTTTGGCATCAATAGACATGCTCTGAGAGCTCACATTTGTATTTCGCGTTTCAAATATGTCAAAAAAAGAAAATAAAGTCTAGTGGCTCGCAGGAGGCTCTTGAGGAAGCATCCACAGAACTGAGCCGGGGTGTCTTCAGGGGGAATTTGGGGTTTATTCGAGAATAATGGCGCGAAACCTTGAATAAATGCGGACCAAAATCAAAATGGTGTTCAGTTATTCAAGCATAATGACGCTAAACCTTGAATGAATGCAAAAGAAAATCAAAATTGTCTTTAGTTTCCGCTTTGTTGGCAGCAGCTGGTGGTTCGTGGTTTCTGGGGTGTATGTACACCCGGAAGCGAACCACCGGGTCGGCCGTGGTTCGGCGCCGCAAATAATTCTTCGTGAATTTGCATGCAAGTGACTATATCGGGTATTTAAATTGATTATTTTGCCTTAATAAAGTTGAATTAAATTAGTTTTGGAGCTTCTTTTTATTTTAACGCCGCCTAGTCGGAACTTATCGTCTGTGACCACGGCTGCTCACCGGACCAGCTGGATGCCAATTCGCATTTTCTCGGCCATTTCTCGGTGATCTTCTTTCTTTTTTGTTTGTTTTTTTTATTTTTTGTTTTTTCCGCATTTGACTCGCCGATCCTCTGCGAGGATCACCGCGGCGATGCTGCAGGCGAACAAGGCGCACGTGATCGCCGGCTTCACCCGCCAGAACTTGAATTTGCGACAGCTCGAGCTGCAGTACTGGATCGAAGTCTTGAAGAAATTTGCAACTTTGGCTTCTTTTTTAGGAGGTTTCGCTTCCACAGTGATGCAGCTGCAGACAGATGTGCTGGGGGGCCCCGATGGCTTCCACCTCATATTTTCCCTTACAGCCTCGGGGGCCCTCGGCCTCAACTTTCTTGTACTTGTCATTTGCACCACTTGCAATGTGTGGGGCCCGGGCAAGGCCCTCACGGGGCAGGGGGAAGAGTCTTTCAGAGTGGTGAGTGCAGCAGCAGCAGCAGCAGCAGCAGCAGCAGCAGCAAGCTGCAGCAAACTTCGCCACAAGCTGCAGCAAACTGGGAGTTTCCGCTGCTTTAAAGGCTTTAATCTTTTCACTTCAAAGCACTTCAAAGCCGACCTA